GGAATCAATCATACTGGATAGCAATCAAGAATGGGGATCCTGCCTAGTTTCCTTTCTCTCCACCCCCCCCCAAACTCAGGATGCCAAGACCAATTTTAGCATCCTGGTCGTGATCAAGTTTAAGATAAGCTATTTCAATTAAAACCATGGATTGAATATGGAAGAAGCTGTACAGTATATTTACGAGCTAAGCTTTTACTTTACAGTGAGTCCTACATAGCACTTTAAGACCTTCTGATGTGAAAGGCACCATATCAAATGCAGGGATTATTTTATTGCACACGTTTTTAAATAAGGAATACACCTTTCCACCTATACAATTTACACATTTATGCGACTGAAATGTCAACAGATGAATAATTTATATGCATACAATTTATAATTTGGATTTCATTAGGATTTCATGCAAATGTTGCAAATTTAAGCCTGTCACTTTACTGTTGTGTTGCTGTAGAAGACCGTGGTGATGTGCCTGACAATGGAATAATGAAATTAGGTTGATCCTCTGTGGTACTCTTGACATCTGGTTCCTGAACCAGGCAGTTCTGCAGTAGGACATTGTTATAACAGATCAGCTAGTCTGGCTTGGCAGTAATTGGAGGAACAGATAAGTCACTGGGTACAGGCGTTATTTCCACTTGGTTCCGTTAATGCTGCAACTCAAAGTCCTAACTGGCTGGATGATCATAGCTAGTTAAGTAGCAGGAAGCTTGCCTGAAAGAGCCCGCATTGGCAATCTACACATACTTAGTTGGTTAAATTCTAGCAGTATGCTATGGCTCATTTTGGGGTTAATGAAATTTCCATGTGTAGATATAATGCAGATGTGGAATACTCAGTTTAGTTTGGATACTCTCAAGCACGGTCATGGGTTTCTTCATGTGTCAAGACACCCGGTTGACCAAAAAATCATGCAATAAGACAGACTTTTGGCAGTTGTCTGCAAAACGTTATTTGGCACTGGCTGTTAACTAATGTAAGATGACAGTTTTGGAGTTGGTATAAACAGGTGGAGCAGTTAAGATTGCCGGATAGAGGCAAAAACCTGAGCTTTGATTTGTTTCTGCTTCGATGTGGCAAAACAAAAAATTGGAGCCAAGTCATATATTTGTTGTCTGCACTCATAAAAAAGTTGAACCATGGTGGTCTGGCACCTCCAGCAATCCCAACACATCTTTAGTTTGTTAAAACATTTTGTTATTTAATTTAAACAGTGGCTGATTATTGCCAATGTACTTCCTCTACACTAACTCCTACACCATAATAATAATTGTTGTATTTGATGTATCGCTTTTCATGTCAGGAAGATGTCTCAAAGCGCTTCACAGGATAGACTGTAAAGTGTAGTGAATGTGTATTGCAAATGAATCTGTAAGTCGAGCTGTAGGAAAGAGGCATTTAAGTCTCAGTTCAGATCTGAAAGTAGCCTGTTGTCCCTACTTTAGAATGGATATATTTATGGGACACTGGCTGCTGCATTTGCCAACAAATCCAAGCATCTGCAGTTTACAGTAATGTCTTTGAAGCATTTTGAGACATTTCAACGACATGGTAAGATTCTTTACCAAATGCAAGGATTATAATCATAAGATAGATTTGTTGGCTGATGGAATTGAAAAGGAATTCAATATTGCATGGCTTGAAATTGGCTATATAAGAAATGTAATACAAGTATTTTTTATTTCAACTCTCTGGGTAGACTTGGAAGTGAAATGAGCTGCATTATCAGATTGAAATAACATTCTCTCTCTCTCCCTTAAGATTGTTGATGAAGAACAATTTTGACAAAACAATGTGTTTGAACCAGCATACATTTACATTTAGAACTTTGCCACAATTTTTGCCATCAATATAATTAGGCAAAAGTGTCGAGTCACATACTTAGAAGGGTTAGAACACTAATAAGATATTTATTATTTGGAACAATTTAGTCTTTTTCCCCACTTCTCCAGAAAGGCTCCAACTCCCTTTGAAGTGTTCCATTGGTCCCTCTGGTAACCATGTGAGCCTGCATAGTGAGCTATTTGACAAAAATGGCTTCACTGTCAAGACCAATCTTCCCTTCAGAAGAGATCCACACATACACTATTTCCCTCCGGGATTACCAGACAACAATCTGATTTTATTCCTCTCCCTAACCCAGAGCCGACGAGGCCAGTTATAGTGCACAAATTGGTGCCCTGGCTGAGATCAGCTAACATAGCACAGATGTGCAAGATTTGCACTGTAGGGCTTAGTGTTGCACTAAACAGTGCCTTTATCCATGAGATAATTGGGGGAAGTGAGATCCAAGAAAAGTTAAGACTGAAATTTTCTTCCACCATCTTTTGCTCGATAGTAAGTAATTGTTTTTGTGCCATGGTTGATACTGCACATTTTTATGGCAACTGGTTTGGACGATGAGCATTGTTTATGAAGATACTTTGTGTTTATCTCGATCTCCACTGTGGCATGAAAGAGCTTTCTCAAAAAAAAGCCCCTTTGAAAATCATCCAGCATTTGATGCAGTGACCAGATATGATATTGTACAATGTTGGGCTATACACTCAAACCCATGCAGTTGTTTGGAATTCATCAGCAGTGAATTTTCATTTAGCTGGCTCACAGTGCTGAAACCATGTTGTTGGCCTGTTTGGGGAAGAATGATTCACCCTCCTGGTCAGAAAACATGTCCAGGATATCTCTCGCCAGTCATTCACCTTCCTTTACTATATAAGGACAACTTTATGAGGCAACGTTGTTGTGATTGCAGTGCTGCAACAGAAACTACCATTTTGAGCTAAAAGGAGCCATTAGCTTTTCCAGTATAAATGAGAAAAATAGTGACTCGGATAACTCTTTCTCCAGCACTCTGGTTGAACTCTTGTCTCTTTGTTAAGGGTGCCCCCTGCTGCCTGCAACCACTCCTCCAAGGGTAGTAATTAAATATTCAGGTACAAGTACATTACCTCAGCTAACTCAGTTTGTGGTAGCTGATTACCATCCCGTCTCCTCCCCTGCTGAAACTGACTCTGACTGCAGTCTTCATGGTTACGCTCTGAAACAAAATGCAACTATCTCTCTTCAATCAATCACACTTAAATCTAACTCCCCTGACAAAAAGGGAAACCCATCAGAGTGGAGCAGGCTGGAAGAAAAGACCAACAAGATGTTTGAAGTCATTCCTGTGGAAAGCAATAATTTATTACCCTCCGTTGAACTATGCAATTAAATCTGGCCCCACCAGCCACCTCATGCTGGCAACTTTTAAAATGACCTCACTATTTGCAAGTAATTTATAGCTTTGGATCCAGCTGCTTCTTATCTGGATTCAAGAGCAATATTCCCCATAGCACAAAGAATGAATGGATAAAAGATCAGCAAAGTCTAACTCTCACCACCTCCCCTGCCCACACACAAAATGTTCAAATAATAAAGAAATAAAATGAACACCAATATTTGAGTCACATCCTCTTATTTGCTTTCAAGTGGCCTTTGCTGTTTTACATTACTAAAGCCATCTGAGAAGATCATTTGGCCCTGTCTTTCAAGATCTAAATCAGTACTTCACCTTCTTACATTATAAGCGTGCATCAGCTTTGTAAGCAGAGTGAAGAGAGAGCGAGAGAGAAAGAAAGAAATACAGGGACTGAGTGCAACTGTGATTTCTGATAACTTCACCCATGGTTAAACCTGATTTTTCAAAAACAGCTCATGTGCTGCAATGAATAGCCTGACTTTCTTTTCATAGATTCTGCATCTATTGGAAACTCCTATCTATTGGAGTCCTGTAGCTCAGTGGTTAGAGCACTCGCCTTGCAAGCAAGACACCTGGGCTCAATTCCAGGCAGAGCGAAACCTTGGGCAAGCTTCCTTACTCCACACGCCTAATAATAATCCCTCAAAACAAAACAATAATAAATTGGTCATTTTCAATCCACAACTGTTTGTGGGACACTGCTGTGCGCGATTGGCTGCTACATTTCACCCACAAATATACAGTCAATTCACTTTACAGTATATTCTGTGAAGTGCTTTGAGATGTCTAGAAGATGTGAAAAGCGCTATATCAAATGCAAGGATTATTATATTATTATTTTAAAGAAAATATCTCAAAGTAAGCAGGAAGACAGAAAATGATATGGAGCAGTTGGTCTTCCTTCTCTAAATGATAAATGTTCCTTTCCTTCACTGGATGGAAGAATATTAAAAGCATAAATGCCTGTCCAAACATCAATTCATTTGATCGCATGTCATTGAATGTATAATGTTCTGCCAAGCTTCTTAAAAACATAGTACTGTAGCTCCCATTTTTCGTCTGGCCTGTGGGACACACAGAAGGTATATTTCCAAAGGTTGATTCCACTTGCTCAGTCGCTCAGCAAAAAGTTCACTCAGAACTTCTTGCTTTTACCAATTCCTATTCATTGAGACATATGCTTGCAAACTAAGGAAAAGACATTGACATTGCTCTAGTTTGGTCTCGTCTCAATTCCCACCCCCCATATCATATATATAATATTGTGTGCATATAAATATATGTATAGCATTATTCTGATACTTTCAAGAGCCTTCTCATGCCCAGCATCATTATCCCCACCAAGATTTTGTTTTGTCAATCGGTTGTCTGATATACAGTAAAACCCATAATCAGACTTAAGAATATTCAAACAACAACAACAACTTACATTTAAATACCACCCTTCACATAGGATAATGCTTTACAGTGATTGAGACAAACCAAACTACATAGGAGTTCCACTCCTGCATTGAAATTTCCATTTCTCTGCAATGGAATGTGCAGTCTCTCCCCAGAGGGACACACCCTGCTCTCCCAAACCCAGAAAGATTTGCCACAGGTTGACAAGAGCAAAAGACAATCAATGAACTACGATCAAATGAATTGATGGCTGGAGAGGCATGAATTACCTAGGATCCCAGAGTATGTATTGAGGTACCTCAGGAATTTAACAAGCCAAGCAGCTTTCAATTGTGGACATTGTTCAGCTACGACACCCTACCTTTGGGTTTTCAGGCTTTAGTTTGCAGGGAGAACAAAAGCTGATTGGAAAGAATCTCTGCCCCTCTAGTGATTGGCCTCCTCCTCCAAATTCTGCTGACGTGCCAGGCTGTCTTATATGTCATCAACGATGCCTTGGGAGTACGATTGACCTGGACTACAGGGCCTGCCACGGAAGATAAATTCACCTATAAATAATAATAATCCTTGCATTTGATATAGCGCTTTTCACGTCGGAAGGACGTCCCAAAGCGCTTCACAGAACACACTGTAAAGTGAATTGACTGTATATTTGTGGGCGAACGCGGTGGCCAATTGCGCACGGCAATAATAATAATAATAATCCTTGCATTTGATATAGCGCTTTTCACGTCGGGAGGACGTCCCAAAGCGCTTCACAGAACACACTGTAAAGTGAATTGACTATATTTGTGGGCGAACGCGGTGGCCAATTGCGCACGGCAATGTCCCACAAACAGTCCTAGATTGAAAATGACCAATTTTTTTTATTATTGCTTTTGGTTTTGGGGTGGATTATTATTAGGCGTGTGGAGTAAGGAAACTTGCCCAAGGTTTCGCCCTGCCTGGAATTGAACTCGGGTCTCTCACTTGCAAAGCGAGTGCTCTAACCACTGAGCTACAGGACTCCACAATACCCAGTCACAGTACTTTCAGTTAATCCTGTAAAGCACTTTATGAGACTTTCTCTTGATATTAAAGGTGCTATACCAAATGGAAGGATTAGTTTTACTAATAATGTCATCTTGGAGTGAGCTCAGCCCCAAGAGGATGATCATGCCAGCCAAGATTATTATTTCTATGACCATCAATGAAGTCAGTCATCAGCTTTCAGTAATACAATTTACATATTTCAGTAAGAATAACACAGGAATGCACAAAGCCACAATACCAGAAAAGACAATTGGTATCCATCTGGCTTATCCCATTATCTAAAATCCCATTCCATTCTTGCTCTAGTTTCCATTACCATCATATAATCATGCAATTGCTTCTTGAAATTGTCAACGCTCCAACTTCATTGCTAACTGAAGCAATATGTTCTACATATTCGCCATCCTTTGTCAAGTTGTCTGTTCACCTTTCCACTTGTGATGTTCAGATCATGACCCCTTGTTACAAGATTGCTGACTATAATGAAACATACCATTAAAGTCCAGCTTAGTTACAACCTTTCAAAACCTTTTTTTTCTTAAATTTTCCACAATTTAACCTTGCTAATTTTTGTCATATGTTCCCAAAGGGTATAGATACAGTTGGATGCTGACCAATGCAATAAATCTTTTTATTGCTTAATACCAAGTGAAGAACAAGTTCAATTTTTACTAGTTTGACATAGTAATTGTGATATGCTATAGTTCACAACAGTATATTCTCGTTATTACTCATTAATTCCATCAGCATGGCTGGTGGCATTTGTAGGTTTAATCCCACTGGTGACATTCTAAGAAAGCAACTGGTTGCTTTGGTTGGAGAGGAACATTAGCCTCTGTCCTTACTGGAAGTAAACGTGTTTTGATTGCGCAAGGAGAGGATCAAGCTCAACTCTAATGATCTTCCAGGAATCAAGTAACCTTTGAGATACCAGAGACTACTGAAATATGTGGAACCATAGTGTAGCATGGATCAAGTGAGGAAGAAAGGAAAAAAATAGGAGCAAAATTCAAAAGCAGACAATTATAAATACAATGATACTGTGATGTATCTGTGCCTCGGTTATGGTCATGGAAAAGTTAATAAAAAATGCTTTGGAACAACACAATATCACAATCACAATTAGGAACAACAAAAATTGTATCAAATAATTGTTCCACTACTGATTTGTTACCTACACGAAAGTATCCATAAACAGGCAACATATGAGGTTTGGGCTCAGCTGTGATGCTTGCTTCTCACTATCAATGCTTGCTATCTTACCCCACACATGATGAACGACCACTTAGACAAAGTACTGACGGGTCACTGATGCCCCAGAGACCACTCCCCATCAAAACCAAATCTCAGCATTGTAGCAGCTTAAGTTGTGAAAGTTAAGATCCACACTTCATTATTCAAACCACTGAGATTCAAGCTCTGTACTATTGTGATATTGTATTGTTCCAAACCATGTTTTATTAACTTTAGCACGACCATAACCGAAGCACAGTTACATTACAGTGTAATTGTATTGGTAATTGGATGCTTTTGAATTCCTCATTTATACTGAAGTACAAACCTGCATCTTTTGTACAATTTCGGAATGAATATGAAGCTGATGCATTATAAACTTAGATTTGAGTATCATCTTGGAATTTGGATTTCAAGCACACATCTATCGTATCAATCGGGGAAGGAGGGGAGGATTTGGAGTGGAGACAGAATGTTGATGTGATATCTGCACATTGATGTACTTCATGTGTGCCTGCGTAGGTCAGAGCTTTACAATCTAAGATCTCTTGCAGAGCTCGAAATCCGCAGTGAAATTCATGTGGAGTGGTTCAACTTTACTGGGTAAAGTCGGTTTTAGATATGCCTTGGGAGAGATGTACACCTTCTGCCAGCTGGTTTTGCAGTGACAGATGTTATGTTTGTTACTGTGATGTTCGTGCTTTGAGAGAGAAAGAAACAAAAGCAAACAAAAAAGGAAAGAAAATCTCACCAAAGTGTGCTTTGCCAAGATCTGTGTTATCACAACTTATATTGTTTGTTAAAAGAAAAGCATGAAATGTTTATTTATTAATAACAAAACACAATGGAATAAAAGACAAACAAGTCACTATTGCTGGAGGTGTGCATGTGTAGTTGAAATGTTAATGCAGTTTGAAATTGTGGTGTTGAAATGGATTTCATAATACCTGTACCGAGTTTGATGATTTCTTTAGACTTGATTCTGATTGTTTATTTAATGAGACTACAACATTGTGCTAACTCTCATTCCAAGATTATCGTATTGAATCTGGTTTGAACACTGACATTTAAGTCGATAATGCGGATTGGTTTTGGGTTTGAATCCCCTTGTCTTGACTTGAGCATTTTTGTTCATGTGAGGGGCTGCAATTGTTGTTTTGGATTACAGAGAATGGCATTTCACTGCTTCATCACAGAATATTGGCCTGTACCCCTTTAATGGGCACCGTGCTCTCTGTGATCAGCAACTGCAACGACGTTTCTGAAATCAGACCAAATCAACAACAACAACAAGATTACATTTGTATAGCGCCTTTCACGTTGGGAGGATGTCCCAAGGCACAAGACCAACAGCGTTTCGGACCCGAGCTGGGGGTTGGAATTGGGGAGGGTGGAGGGCAGGTGGGGGAAGGAGGGTGACCGAAGGTACGGTCGAAGAGGAGGGGCTTGGGACGGGTCTTGAAGGAGGCAAGGAAGGGGGTGAGGTGGAGAGACTGCAGGGTGGAGTTCCAGAGGGTGGGGCAGAGTGGCTGAAGGCCTGGCCGCCAATGGTGGGGTGGGCAGGGCAGGGGACATGAAGCAGACCGGAGCCCGCTGAGCGGAGGAAGTGGGCAGGTTGGTAGAGTTTAGGAGATCGCAGACGTAGGAGGGAGCAAGACCATGGAGGGCTTTGAAGGTGAGGACCAGGACCTTGAACTGTATCCTCTGCGTGATGGGAAACCAGTGGAGTCGGGTGAGGTTGGGGGTGATAGGTTCACGGAGCCTGGTGAGGGAGAGGTCATGGGCTGCAGAGTTCTGGATGATCTGCAGCCTATGCAGGGAGGAGATGAGGAGGCCAACAAGCAGGGAGTTTGCATAGTCAAGTCTGGAGGTTATGAATACATGTGAGGTTATGAGGGTCTCAGCGGTCCGCAATGTGAGACAGTGGCGGAGCCGGGCATTGTTGCAGAGGTGGGGGAAGGCAGAGCGGGTCAGGCCCATATGTAGGGTAGAAAGGAAAGGTGAGGGTCAAATAAGCATGATGGTTGGGCCAAACATTGGTCATCTTTTCTGGTCTAGAGCGACGTGTTTCATTGGTTGTTAACTACATAATTTAAGGGCACTGGTAATTCTTTGTACATTTACGGGATATAAAAGAGAAATAGGAGGAACTATTTCACACAGAAGGTCGTGGATCCTGCAGCAGTGGTTGAAGCAAATAGTGTAGATGTATTTAAGAGGATGCTCGACCTTGACACGAAGGAGAGGAGAATATAAAGGTATGGGAGGGAGTAAGGAAAGGATAAAAACTCATGTAGAGAACAAACACTGTCACAGATTGGTTAGGCTGAGTGGCCTGTTTCCATGTTGCACATTTTTTGTGTAAGCACAACTCACAAATTAGTCCCCAGTTGTAATGCAACCAGATATCAACCCTCTTATATCTCTTAGTAGGACAAGTAATGCTATTTTTAAGGTCTGTGACATTGAGAAATTTTGGCCCGCTTAAAGCCAACAACATTTCACTGGATATTATCCTTCCAAAATGTTTAAGATGCATTGACAGAACAAAGAAAACTCATGTGATTGATTCCATTAAAACTATAAACTTGCAGTTTGTGCAACAAACTCTATTGCAATGTAAGACCAACTCAGCTTATGCCGTTCATCATTTATTGCTCTGGATCATTTCAAAATCTGATGTAAACATTGTTCTGGGTATGAAAATCAATCTCTTCATGTAATCAGATGCTTTGCTATGTTGCTATGGATCAGAAACCAAGGTATGCAATGACGCATATATACACACACGACATATAAAAGCAATCCTCTTGTACTGCTGGAAAACCATTGCACCATTAATTGCATTATAGTGAAAAGCTAATAGTTGATATGTCACTCAAAAATACCGTACTTGATATTGATCAATTTTCTTTACAATTGCGGGTCAATTTGCTAAATTCAAAGTAATGCAACCAATATATTTTGTGCCATCTGCCCAAGAAGGAAGAAACAAGATTATTGGAACATTCTTGTCATTTAAAGTGTTCTGTCACCCTTGAAATAGGACTTCCATTAACTTTTTATTTTTTTTGGCAATGCATCATGTGCATTGCGAAGGTGTCACACAGGCAACTTGTGGCGAAAATTAATTGAAAAAAAATTCAGACTGGTCTGCAACAATATTTGAACTACAGAACAAACTTGTTTGATGGCTTTTGAGAACACTGAGCCTATTACAGTGTAGCTTTGTTATACATTGCTGGTTGCATGGATCCTATT